GAGTGAATACAAGCTTCCTTTGTATTCAAAGGAAAATAAGGGGTGCGACAATCACATACTTTACAAATGCTCTAATAGTTATTAAGAGTAATATACACATAGTAAACTCTTATTGCAGATAAACTGAAAATTTCAATGCAATTTTATCTTGAAACGAAACAAAATTTTCAAATTATTTTTTATAACAAACATATTTGAGATGAGATAGAAACATTGTCTCTCTCACTATGTCATAAGATAAAAACACTTCATTAAAACTAAAATTATAACATTAGAACTTTTAAATTTTATCCATTCAGAGAAAAAAAATTCATAAAGTGATCAATTAGGTCATTCAAATTCAAAAATATTGCATTTCATACAATGCAAATGATCACTCTCATCTCTCCTAGTGGCTTAATTATAAAAACAAAGTCAAACAAAACAGGAAAAAGTGTTACTGTAATATTGTTTGTGTGAGAAAAGAATTAAAAAATTTGTGATTAATATACTTTACTGAACCTCTAAGATTTATTAGTAAATTTTAAATACCAATCTTTCTGCAAGAAGGTTCAATATAACATACTATCACTTTTTCTTTTGATTTTACTTGCTTTTATTGGTTATTCTTTTACTATTGTTTGAAAGAAAACTATTGAACATATAAAGCTTGAAAGCACACGGATCATGAGATCGTGTTTAAAAAATTCTGAGAACTTAAATAATTTTTATTGCATAATAAGAATCATTTAGCTTTTTTAAGTTTTAAATTTATGGATATTGTAGCTTTTAAAACTCTCTGAAACTGATAAAAATTAATGCAATATTAAATCATATTTCATTTCTTCATAGCAAATGTTTTTGGATAACTTACTGACTAGTACTATTTTAATAGATTACAAAAAATAGAAAACAATCATCATAAAAATAAATAGTTAAATATAGAGAATTATTTCAAAAATCACTTTTATCACAACAGATTTTAAGAATAATATCTAAATTGTTATTTCTAGTTTGATTTGCTGTAAGCTCAAATTGCAATTAACTTGGATTTTCTTTTGAATAATCATTTATTTAATTCTTTCTTGGATTATCAGTGAATTTGACAGTATGTTTTCCTTCATTATATTTAGAATGTAGGAGTAAATATTTCTATTTCTAATCATAAAAAAATCACGTAATAGTACTCTAATTAAATGCATGATGTTATTTACATGGTTCCTACTCAAATTTCTGTTTTAAATTCCACAATGTTTCCTGGCCCTCATATCCCTTGACACATTAACCCAATAAAACAGCATTTTACTTACTATCCACATGCTCTATTGCTTTTTCAGCTTTTTAATTGTTATTTTTCTAATTAAAAAGTGTATATTTTTATTATCACTGAATTATTAAAATTAAAACTAATATGTCTTATTAAATAAAAGTAATTTTTCCTATTATTAATCCACAACTGTAAAACTACAAGGTCATACAAAATAAATGTTACAATTTTAAATTACTAATTACCATTATAATTACATTATTATGCATTGTACATCAATTGATACAATTACTATTCAAGTTTCATCTACCATCTGCATATTTGAATGCAGATGGTAGATGAAACTGAATCTTTTTGTCTACTGCCTCTAGGAAGTGTTGTAAGCAAAAATGACAACTTTGCAACAGAGAAGGCATTTTGTGTTCTGCAGTCCACAAAGTCTGAATCAGTCATGATGGTGCAAACAAGAATATTTGCCTTACATAGTCGATCACTTAAACTGTCTGCAAAACACTATAAAAAAATCACATTACACAATGATGACTGTTTTTACCTCTGCAAACTGTAAAATAGGAAATGCTTTCTCTATTGCAGAATTGTCATTTTTGTTTAGTGCTTTCTAGAGGCAGCAGATGAAAAATATTTGTATGCAGATGGTAGATGAAAGTAGAGAATTTACTCAATTGATTGATGTACATTACATACTTCTCAAGTAATAATTAATATAATTACAATAATTGATTTAAAAGCTTCTTGCCCTGGTTGTATTAATGTCTTTATGTAAACATAAAATTGCTATAACAGACTTATCGTACAATAATGTATAATGATGATAAGTCCGTTATAGCAATTTTAAGCTCACATAGAAGACATAATTACAATAATTTAAAATGATAGCATTTGTTTTGGAAGATCCCATATATGACTTTGAAAAAAACAAAAAAGCCATTATTTATTTATTCNCTTAAAGTTTAAAACGCCAGTAATTTTTGCAGGACAATATGTGCATTTACATGCATTTGATATTTTATTTGTGATTAAATGAAATAAAATTAGAATTGTATTAATAAATCTAATTTTCTTTATTTTGATCTTTAAAGTCACACCTCATCCTATATAAGAGATCGTCTTATATGCGAGTAAATATGATATTTAAAATAAATTTTTAAAACAGAGAAAATTTTAGGAAAGAGAAAAGAAATAACAGATACTAACAAATGATAACATTTTCTTTTCTAACAACACTCTTTCATGAGATGGTTATTCAACCCAGGAAGTTGTGAAGAAAAATTCAGATTGGATGTTAGCAATCTCTTTATTCGACATTACCAATTTTGGAAGTTGGGGTCATAAAGGATGGTCTAGTTCAAAGTTGTCCAGTTCAGTCACTTTAAGAGAGACTAGGAGTCCTCTTGTCTAGTTTATCAATTAGTTTTGCCCAAAAAAGGAAAAACACAATCTCTCCTATTTACAATGTCCAGTTCAATGGTCATTCTTCAGTCTGGTTCCACAACTAGTTCCAGTCCAGTCCCGTAGCTCCTCAACCATTCCAGCTGCTATGGAAGTTGTCCTTCAAACCAATAATCACAGCCCAGGCGGAAATAGAGAAGAATAAACACAAACTTTAAAGTTAGGAATAATTGCTCTCATTAAGGACATATTTCAAGAGAAATGAAGACATTCAACATTGAAGGTATTTATCCGTGCATGACCAATGTAAACTGTCATGAGCAGTAGAATTTAGTCATTACAATAGCTTTGAAGTAGAAATTTGATAAGAGCATATAAGTATGTAGTATATCATTTTATAATCAGTTTATAGTTAAGAGCATCTTTATGTAAATTATAATTCATTTCATTTTGTATAATCAAAGAAATATATACTCCTGTCAATAAGCTGTCCTGTCCTGCCAACATTCAGCCTCATACAGGCTGTTCACACATGTTCAAAAAAAAAAAAAAAAAAGGGTTTGTGTTTCCCAATAAAAACATGGTGGTGTCAGAAGTAATAGGGAGTGCTTCTCAGATTTCACAACTACCATCCTGCTTTCCTCAATTTGATGATGCCATCTCTCTCAAACATCAGCTGTATATAATGTCTTTGCACAACTGAGTCATATAGGAGTACCTGGTGATCCTGAACACAGTGAGCCTCTGCAACCTTTTTATAGGATACTAGGGTAGCAATTTTAAAGAACTTTGGTAGTATTAATTGGTGTAGTCAGGTAACAACTATAATTATTCAGTTTCTTTCTGAGATATAGCTTGTATGGTAAATTTTGTAGTAATTTGTCGATTCCATCTGGATGTATTACTTTTTAGTCAATGAGTATATTACAGTATTAATGTAAAATACATATTTTAAGATTTGAAATAAACTTCTTTATAATTTATTGTATTTAATAATTATTTCATTATTGCAATTATCACAAAGTGAATGAAATCTTTTTACTTTCATTTGCATTAATGTTAAGATTCTTAAAATATCTATTAATTTATTTTGTGTAAATACAAGGTGTGGCAATTTAATTCCTGAAATGTATCTTTAAAAAATGTGTGTGGAACTGTATACTAGTGGGTACTATGGTCTTCGAAGTAAATCCCCTTGTGCATCTATACACTGACTTAAATGGCATTCCCATTTCTGCAAGCAGGCCTGAAACTCATTTTTCAGAATTCTATTGAGTCTCACATTCTGTTGGATATCAGTTATATTAGAAAATATTCATTCCTTCAGTGTAGCTTTTAATTTTAGAAATAGCTAGAAGTCATAGAAAGCTGAGTCAGATGAATAGGCAAGAGATCCAAATGGGTAATGACTTTTTCGGCCAGAAAGTGTCTCACCATGAACACAATGACTTGATGCACTGTCATGATGAATGATCCACTTGTCAGGACACAGTTTGGGTCTTTTTCTTTGAATCAAATCTTGTAATCTCTTCAGCACTTCTAAAAAGCATTGTTGGTTGATTGATTGATTGTCTCTATTCAATAAATTCTTAATGGACTATTCCTTTGTTTTTGGCTATTCACTTCTAGGGTCATCTGTCACATCTTGTCTATTTCTGAATCTCTTATTCCACTCAACACATTTGACTTTTTCATGGTATTATTTCACTACAACATGCCAGTTTCAACAGTTGTAATGTTTCAGTAGCACTTTTTCTATTTTCAACACGAAATGTAATATTAATGCACTGCTCTAAATTTCAGTCACTCATTTTTATACCAAAGTGCACAGATATTTATTACCTTCCCAATGGATAACTAATAACTGACTATCATCTTGAAATTTATGTACAGGTTAGTTCAAACAAGTTCAAAATCATGTGAATATTTATACAATTACGTCATATGCAACACTACACAGCCATTCTGGAAATTAAACTGTCATACCTTGTATGAGAAGTTAATTCAAAATTGCATTACAAAAGTCATTTAAATTATTTTCTAAGAATTACAATAACGCTTTCAAATGAATCATAAAATACCTCATAAAAAGTAATAAATATCAATTAGTTAAAATGTAAATGTTTTTATTTTGATACACTACATGATATGAATAGTATAAACAACAGAAAGCTTTTCAATAAAAAAAAACAAAGAATTTATTTAGTAATAAAATGAAATGTTAAAAATTAACATACCAACTCAAATTTTATAAATCCTGAGAACATAGAACAGATGCAGTACATATATTTATACTTGTAAAAATACTTTTATTAATTAATAAGACATCCTGATTTTTACTTACTATATTCTCCTCTCCATGTCCATGGCATTACTCTCTGACATCTTGCACCAGGTTTATTAAAATCACAGGCTGCACAAGCTGCTTCATCAACAATAGCTGATGGCTACAATAATAATAAAATTAATATAACCAAATACTGCATTATTTAATGAAATATGATTTACTCTCATTTAAGTTAGATAAAATATTACTCTATATGAAATAAAAAGTAATAAAAATGATTCTGTTTAAGATTTAATAAAGATCATTAAAAAGTATACTATAAAAACAAAACAATCTTAAAGAAGATAAAGTTTAGCTTTAATTCATAGTCATCAAATTTTTCAGTCATAAAAATAATCAAAGTGTAAGTGGTAATAATTTAAACACTGTGTAAAGCAGATCATGAAAATTTCTGTTATAATTATTTATACTTTGAATGTTTGTTTACTTTATGTTTAATGAATGAAATTAATGTTTAATGAATGTTTATTTATTTACACTTGCTTGTAACAGGCTAGAACTCTAAATTTTCTTATAAATTATTAAAAACTAAATAACAATATCATAAATTTTATACATTTTGTAAATGTTTTAACTATGTATAATTAAAAACTTTTTATTATGTATGTTTAAAGTTGTTTTAACAGCACAATAAAAGAATAACAGTCTAGATAAAGAAAAACAAAGTTAAGAAATGATTAACAAGATAAATTTTGAATTGGTCTAGGAAGAACATGGATAAAAGTGTTATGTGGAAAAACTAACTAATTGAAGTACCTATAAAATAATAATTGATGAAAATTATAGGTGAAAATAATTTTGGGAATCCAAATCTTATTTGTGCCACCTCACATGAAATCAATATAAAATAGATGACCTAGCTTATTAAGCAAAAGGCTGACAATATATGCATTAGTAGTCAACCAAGGATTGAAAAATAGTGAAGAAGAGAGATCTCAAAACTAAGCTAGACAAAATAAAGTTAGTGGCACAACAAGATTCCCTTTCTGGTAGCTAAATTTTTTACTAGCTTATCAAAATGGTGTTTATAAGTTTTCAATAGGAATAATCTTTCTAAAAACCTATAACCGGCATAAAATATGTTCAATTGCTTATGCTAACGTTTTCGGATCCCACTGGGTCCTTCATCAGGCTATGTTCTATTTGCAACGATCTGTTAGAATGTCGCTACATAATCTAGATTACGTAGCGACTGGAGATTCGAAGATACGTGATTCCCAATGGAACTCGAAATACAATATTTGAAATTTCGTTCCAAAGACAGCTGACATTCTAACAGATCATTGCAAATAGAACATAGCCTAATGAAGGACCCAGTGGGATCCGAAAACGTTAGCGTAAGCAATTGAACATATTTCACGCTGGTTATAGGTTTTTAGAAGATTATTTGTATTGTTCCGGTGTGCGTCGATTAATTATTTATTTCAATAGGAAATAAATATAGCATTTATAGAAGTTTTTAAGGGTGATACTAAAATTGTTTAAAGAAATACCAAAATGAATTGAACTATATTATTTCTCTTAAGTTTCTTTTCTACAGTTTTTAGTTGAATTTAGAAGAAAAAAGTAAGAGGCACATATGTAAGACAAAAACCAATTTACTGAAATATTAAAGCAAACTATCTAAACAATATATAAAAGTGTGTGCATATGCACAAACTTTCATATAAAAATTAAATTACATCTATATTCTACATAGCATTTTGCAGCTTGTTTAATTAGACTGAGCTTATATTTTTAATCAGGAAAAAAATTTTGCTTCAGCATTCTCTAAATACAGGGTGATTCACTGATGGCATTCAGTAGTTTTTTTTCTCTAGAACCATTGGAGATAGTTCCATATATCTTTCTATGAACACTACTCCCAAGTTTTGGCTCTATGGAGGACTTATCACACACTGTTCATGTTGTCAGAGTGTTCACATAGAAGTATGAAGAAGACACAGGTTTATTATGATGACAGTAAGCATTTTCAAGCCTATGTCTACCTACTTCTGTGTGAACACTCCAACAATATAAAAAATATGTGTGATAAGTCCTCCATAGTTAGTGCTCATAGTTCCATATTGTAACATAAGGATAAAAAGCAATTCACCCATCAAGATGGGACTAATTACCAGATTTACAGAGCAGACAAGGGACAATTTTGGGGATCTTGAATGGCCTTGAAAATCGGCAATTTTTGAATAACAAACTAGTTTTCTTTTTAAATTACAAGGAGTGCTTTTGAGTCATTTTATACATTGTATATAAACTTGGTAATTAGTTCCATTTTCCTATCTCTAATAGTTTGAGAAGAAAAACTATATATGTATAGACATTATAAATAAACATTATATACATATTCATCTAAGTTTGTGCATTTTTATATATCATAAACAGTAATATATGACCAAACAATTCAACCTGAAAGAGTTATATGAATTTAAATAACTAATGCTAAAATTGTAATATTAATTTTCTAAATAAATCTAATTGAAATGGATTAGAAATGTGTATTTAATAAACTAACTAATAACTAATAAAATAAATAATAAAAAACCAATTATGATTGTAAACAATTTTAATGCTAATTTTAAAAAGCCTATTTTACTGCTTTAAAATAAATAAACTCCAGTAAAATTTAAAACAATTCACTAAAAATTCAGTTACGTTATTCATTTTAAAGTCACAAGAATAATAATTATGGCACTGACTTTTCATTTTAACTACCTTATCATTGAAAAATATCCTCTTAGAAAGAAAAAATGAATACAAAGTATCAACATCTTAGATTAATTGTTATAGCTTAGGACATTTTACCTCTGTCTTCTGATAAATTTTTAACAGTTTAGAAACATTCTTGATATTTAAAAGGTATCAAACATTCCTGAGATGTAAAGATAAGTTGAAACGAATCGGCAATTTTTTATTATGCTGTCAAATTAAGACAGCATAATAAGAAATTATGCTGTCTTAATTTCTTCTTTTTTTTTAAAAGTTTTAATAATTTTATAAAACTATTTTTGTTATCTTTTCAAATGGAACTTTTATCACCTTTTAATGGTAGTTAAAATAAAAGATTGGTATCATTTTGTTGTTTCTAAGCTTAAAAATGAAAGAAACTGAATTTGTATAAATTAGCGATACATTTCACTTAGGTTAGTGAAACTGTCCTCTAGAAATATTCCTTAAATGGACTTTCTAACTTATAAAATTGATGTTAATATTATTAAAAGTAAATGAAAACCTGTTAATCCATTCTGAATGAGCTAAATGTTTTTATAATTAAATCATAGATTCATAATTATTTTAAATTTAAACCATTCATTTAATTAAAACCAATATCTTTGCTATATACATAGTAAACAATTATCAGATACATTCATCTATCAAACTATTTTAAAGCCAATTAGATATACAACAATTTTAAATTTAAATTAATTTAATTCTAATTATTAAATTTATCAAGATATAATAACTTAATTGTCTACCTTAGTCAAACTGATTTGTATCTAATTAGTTATTAGTCTTAATATAGCCAAATACATACAGTAATCCAGTAGATTGTTTGGCAATACTTTTGTTATATAGAAAGAATTAGAATGAAGCAGATTAATTATTTAAATCTTTCTTTCCTAAATCATATCTTTCTGATATTATCTATTAGAAATCATTGTATTTAGAATATATATTAATAGCAATATTCAAATTATAACTAAAAAAAAACATAGTTATTAAGGATAATATTAATGAAAGAGTTATTATACCCATAATTCGATTTACATATACTGTGACACTTAGCAAAAACATTGAGTTTTCCTCAAAAAGTGTTATCGAAAAAATCTTTTAAGGTAAGGATCTTCCTAAATCATGGCTTATCTAACTTATACATAAACCTAAAACTGGTTATACTAGTTATACTAATATCAGTAAGTTTACTTACCTGTAAACGATTAGTAAGAATAATATTTGGATACATAGCACCAACGTCTAAATGATATATGATGGGATTTTCAAGTCTTGTGGGACAGTCTCTTAAATGTGATAATTTCTTGATTATGTCTTCTGACACCTGACAAGTAATTTTTTACATGTTATACACTTATTTATATTGTAAAAAATGTTATTAATTTCATAGATTAGACCTGTTTACCAAATTCTTTCTTAAAAGATTTTTAAAAAAAACTTTCTCAGTCCTTAAGGTTAATGTAACATTTATTACTATTAAAAAGCAATATTGATGTTTTAAAATTTTAAAACATATTTACCTCATCAAAATTTATAACTTGTTCTAAAGGAATTTTTTCTTCGACTTCAATGGCATATTTTAATTGTCTATCAACGTTATCTATCAACTTTTGAAATGCTTCTGGAATCTGAATATGTATAAAAATTAAAATTTTAATAAAAACTGAAAATCAATATCAATTCTAACTTTAACTCAAAATAAATTATTGAATACTTACTAATCTAAAACGACATGGCAGATCAGCTCGAAACACTCCGGATTCCAGAGCTTCCACATGTCCGCCGACATAAGTTTCCTGATCCAGTACATGACCATCGTCTGTCAATTTATTTAAAATGGATTCTTGCTTATTAGGAAAAATGATATTTGCGTGAAATGCCTGAACCATTAAAAGTGCCTCGCATAATGTGCCCGATCCTTTTCTTAATACCTGAAGCATTTATTTGAAAGCATTACATTTAAATTTAATGACAAAATTTGCTTTATTATAAAAGTCTAACCTCATCCGGTTCCATAGGAATGATAGTGCACAAAGCAAATATAAAAGGATGAACGTATTTCATATATAGATAATATGTGGCAACAGCATCTGAGACTGAATAATTTGAGAGAATCTGCATTAAGAAATAATAGAAATTATTAATAACTTTAGTAAAGAATTTGTAACTAATAACTTTATTTATTTAGTAAAAACTCCATTTTAAACAAAAACACACACATTACACATAATTTAAAATTACAGTCGACCCCCCCCCATAACACGGGTTCTTATAGTTCGGATTCCTATATGACAGTGAAAAAATTGCGACGGTATCCGTACAAACATCATAAAAAAAAACTCCTATAATTCGGTAAAACGTCATCGGGCAGCCGAACTACTTTCCGCTGTCCAGCACCACGCTACGAAGAGTTTAGGTGGGTAAATTATGTGAGGATTCGAATTCGGACTTTTCGTGTGTTTATATCATTTCACATTGTAGCTATACTTTCATTCAATAACTGTCAACTTTTACACCTGGGAGCTAAACATCTGGTAAGTTCTCAGGCTTTATAACGACGCTTTCTCAGCACCTTTCGACCTAATATCTGCATTTCAACAATCCAACCTGAAAAACAGACAACAAAGTGAGGCAGTCGTCACCATTTCCTCGATCAGACCACTCGATTTTTCCCTGTGCCTCGCCTTTGGATATTTCCTCGCCTAATAACTGTGGAAATAAGAACTGTCGTCCAGAACTGTCTTCTTTTGTGATTTCATACAAGGTATTTATCGCCACACGAAACTTATGTAAACTCTCTCTCTCTCTCAAATCGGGGAAAAACGTAATATCTTAATATCGAATACTTATCAAATTGAGAAATGTATCTAACCGCAGCCCTAATGTATAGCCTATCATTAACCATTAAACAGTTGTTACGTTAAAGTGTCTATGAGTAGGTCACTTCCAGTGCGCTGTGTCTCCTTCTATCTCGACTCTGATCACTCACACACGCGACCACTCACACGCCCGAACGAAACGGTTTCTGTGTCTAGCCATGAAGACACAGTGGTGTCAGTCCTGACGAAACTTGTCATTGCGATGTCGACCCTTCAGTCACGTGGTGCCGAAGAATAGGGAGTCCCTTCGGCATTTACTATCACAATTAAGTTTACTATCATCTGTACAGTATTATATATAAATTAGGTACTGTACATATAATTATATATTAACTTAATTTATTGTAACTTTATTATAATTATATATATACTTTCCGCCGTCCAGCGCTATGCTACGGAGAGTTTAGGCTAGCAAGTTGAGTTTACTATCGTCTGAACAGTATGTAAATTAGGTACCGTAAGTCTAATACAGCACTAATTTTATACATTTCTTGTGAAAGAAACATTTCTTATTCAATGGCCATAAAAATTATTTATATTAATGATGTCTCCAAAGTTCAACGAAGTTTTCGCAGAAAAATAACTTATCAGAAATCACGGCCGCCGTTTGGTGTGCTGCTCCGCGACGAAAACAAGCTTAAGCAACGGCGACGTCGAACGGTGCACACTCGGTAAGTAATCCTACAATTTTTTGTTTATAGCATAGTTTATACGGATTATTGAAAAAAATATACGTATTTTGGAAATGTTGAGTCGAATTAGTCTAGAATCGATTAATTTTATGGAAGAAAACCTTTCAAACAGCCGTAGTCCGTAAAGTGCATACATGCCAGGCTGTGATTGGCAAGGACTCGTACAAAATGGATTCATAAAGAACGGAACGTATCTACCATGTTATAGGGGAGTCGACTGTAGTTCTTAATTGTAACTTCTTTATTTGTGACAGAGATCTTAAAGACATAAGTGATAAATTTTGAAAATTTTTTTATTATTTCTAACTTCTTCATATTATTTGAGCATCATTAATGATTTGGTATTTCAACTATTACTCATAATTTGATATCATTTATGTTTAACTGTTCAGTTATTCTAATTTTATCATTGACAATACAACTTTCTTAAATATACTTTATCTTATAATTTAAACAATACATGTCTACTTTAAAATTTAAGGCAATATTAAATTTATTATCATTACCTAAAATAATATTAATTAAATTTGTACACTTATTATATGAAGATATATCTTAATCAGATTCCAATAATCTTGTAGTATCACTTCTGTTATTGACATGATGAAAATAGATTGTGTTGAGTTGAGAATATCAAACAAGTGAACAGAGAAAAGCATGTTCATTCCATACCAACATACATTCAACTATGGAAAAGAATACAATAGCTCTCTGGGTGAGTGAATACAAGCTTCCTTTGTATTCAAAGGAAAATAAGGGGTGCGACAATCACATACTTTACAAATGCTCTAATAGTTATTAAGAGTAATATACACATAGTAAACTCTTATTGCAGATAAACTGAAAATTTCAATGCAATTTTATCTTGAAACGAAACAAAATTTTCAAATTATTTTTTATAACAAACATATTTGAGATGAGATAGAAACATTGTCTCTCTCACTATGTCATAAGATAAAAACACTTCATTAAAACTAAAATTATAACATTAGAACTTTTAAATTTTATCCATTCAGAGAAAAAAAATTCATAAAGTGATCAATTAGGTCATTCAAATTCAAAAATATTGCATTTCATACAATGCAAATGATCACTCTCATCTCTCCTAGTGGCTTAATTATAAAAACAAAGTCAAACAAAACAGGAAAAAGTGTTACTGTAATATTGTTTGTGTGAGAAAAGAATTAAAAAATTTGTGATTAATATACTTTACTGAACCTCTAAGATTTATTAGTAAATTTTAAATACCAATCTTTCTGCAAGAAGGTTCAATATAACATACTATCACTTTTTCTTTTGATTTTACTTGCTTTTATTGGTTATTCTTTTACTATTGTTTGAAAGAAAACTATTGAACATATAAAGCTTGAAAGCACACGGATCATGAGATCGTGTTTAAAAAATTCTGAGAACTTAAATAATTTTTATTGCATAATAAGAATCATTTAGCTTTTTTAAGTTTTAAATTTATGGATATTGTAGCTTTTAAAACTCTCTGAAACTGATAAAAATTAATGCAATATTAAATCATATTTCATTTCTTCATAGCAAATGTTTTTGGATAACTTACTGACTAGTACTATTTTAATAGATTACAAAAAATAGAAAACAATCATCATAAAAATAAATAGTTAAATATAGAGAATTATTTCAAAAATCACTTTTATCACAACAGATTTTAAGAATAATATCTAAATTGTTATTTCTAGTTTGATTTGCTGTAAGCTCAAATTGCAATTAACTTGGATTTTCTTTTGAATAATCATTTATTTAATTCTTTCTTGGATTATCAGTGAATTTGACAGTATGTTTTCCTTCATTATATTTAGAATGTAGGAGTAAATATTTCTATTTCTAATCATAAAAAAATCACGTAATAGTACTCTAATTAAATGCATGATGTTATTTACATGGTTCCTACTCAAATTTCTGTTTTAAATTCCACAATGTTTCCTGGCCCTCATATCCCTTGACACATTAACCCAATAAAACAGCATTTTACTTACTATCCACATGCTCTATTGCTTTTTCAGCTTTTTAATTGTTATTTTTCTAATTAAAAAGTGTATATTTTTATTATCACTGAATTATTAAAATTAAAACTAATATGTCTTATTAAATAAAAGTAATTTTTCCTATTATTAATCCACAACTGTAAAACTACAAGGTCATACAAAATAAATGTTACAATTTTAAATTACTAATTACCATTATAATTACATTATTATGCATTGTACATCAATTGATACAATTACTATTCAAGTTTCATCTACCATCTGCATATTTGAATGCAGATGGTAGATGAAACTGAATCTTTTTGTCTACTGCCTCTAGGAAGTGTTGTAAGCAAAAATGACAACTTTGCAACAGAGAAGGCATTTTGTGTTCTGCAGTCCACAAAGTCTGAATCAGTCATGATGGTGCAAACAAGAATATTTGCCTTACATAGTCGATCACTTAAACTGTCTGCAAAACACTATAAAAAAATCACATTACACAATGATGACTGTTTTTACCTCTGCAAACTGTAAAATAGGAAATGCTTTCTCTATTGCAGAATTGTCATTTTTGTTTAGTGCTTTCTAGAGGCAGCAGATGAAAAATATTTGTATGCAGATGGTAGATGAAAGTAGAGAATTTACTCAATTGATTGATGTACATTACATACTTCTCAAGTAATAATTAATATAATTACAATAATTGATTTAAAAGCTTCTTGCCCTGGTTGTATTAATGTCTTTATGTAAACATAAAATTGCTATAACAGACTTATCGTACAATAATGTATAATGATGATAAGTCCGTTATAGCAATTTTAAGCTCACATAGAAGACATAATTACAATAATTTAAAATGATAGCATTTGTTTTGGAAGATCCCATATATGACTTTGAAAAAAACAAAAAAGCCATTATTTATTTATTCATTAACAAATCCTATAATCTATTATAAAAGTATAAATTTATTAAATCTGTTCCTTAATAAATTTCCAGAATTTTATAATATATTAATATTAGTGAAAAAAGTCAGAAATTTTGTTATGCAATCAAAATTATTAAAATAAAAAATGATAAATAAGACTATTTAAATTACAAATTAAATATTTATCTTTTTTTTTATCAGTTCACTAACATCTGCCTCAAACTGAGTGTGTAAATAATAATTGTAAGGGAGGGATTCTGAGAAAGCTAAAATATTTTCAAAAAATGTTATTGATATTCGATTATTAAGAGTACTACAGAGTTTTCTCTCAAATTCATAATATTGCATCTTAAAAACCAGAAAATGTTTTAAAATTCAAAAATGACAATTAATAGTGTCATATGAATACATTAGGTACATAGTTTGATCCCCTGGCACATTGTGATGCTCTCCTTCCTATATGATGCATTTTATAATAATTCTTTATGTAAACAATTAATATCAGTTTTAAAATTAATCTGCAACTGTCAGTAAAAGAAGTAAATGTCTGTAATAATTGTCCAAACATTAAACAAAATTCTAAAAAAGTACACAATGTGATCATGATTTATATGGTCTGATTTTAAGTGATTTTAAAACAAAATCTTTCAGTGCAATAGAACAATAGGTCAGTTTTATGCGTAATAAAAATTAATTAACTCATTTTATGCAGTGAAAGTTTAAAAAACTGCCTAAGAACTTGGTCTCTAAATATAGAAAAAAAATGGTGAATAGTATTTACACATAATTATAATAATATAATCAGCCATACCATCAGCAAGCAAAATCAAGAAGACTTTCCCTGACTTTTCAACAGTTTTTGATAAATTTACTGACTTTCCACAACTTTTTCTAAACATTAACAAATGTCTCTGACTTTCTATATACATAGGAACACTATATTTAACTATTTGTGTGAAATAAATAAAAAGTTCTTCACAAACCTGTGGTTGTTCACTGGCCAATCTACACATATCTTCAGGATCGAGTTCTACTGGATCATATCTCAATTTAGCCTGATTAATAGAAATAATAAGTCTCTTATACAAAATTATTGAATTAAAGTTTGAAAATTAAAATACGTAACTTTTTAAAATCTAGAAATTAAATTATGGCTAAATCATTGGTAAAACTATTAATTTTACTTAAATAAATTCATGTATAGAAGAAACACAAAGTCTTCAATATTCATCCTTCTAACATCAATAGAACAACAATATTTCATGGTGAAATTAACCTTCATTTTGAAGCAGAGAAGTGCTTCAAAATGAACAAACTCCCCACAAAATTTCAGAAACTTTCAACAATAGGCACAAGAGTTATTAAGTATCAAACAGGGTGAACAAAACATGCCCCCATACAGAAAAACCCCCCAATATTTTTGCATTTCTTGACATTTCAAGATCCCAAGTCCAAAAATTTTTAAATCTTGGGGTCATATTTTGACTCATTGCAATACTTTTCCACTGTAATATCTAACAGCCAGGAAAGTAAAAATTGTTAAAATTTTTCATATTGAGATGGAAAAGAACCTCAAAATGAAGGTTGATTCAGCCATGAAATATTGTTGTTCTACTGGTGTTAGACGAACAAATATTAAGGACCATGTTTCTTCTATATGTGAATTTATCATCCAATTTTAGTTTTAATAACTGTTATTTTTAATTTAAAAAAATTTATATTTAAGTAATTAAATATTTAAATATAAATTTTAAAGTTTATTTATTTTAAATTTCAACAATTTCAACATTAAATTTCAACATTTACAAAGTATTGAGATGTGCAAATATTATATATAAAATGTATATTCAAATGAATAGTAAATTTATTATGAAGTTTTGTTTAAATAATTTAAAATCTATATTTGCATAAAGCTCAACTAACTACTGTACAACACAAGTTACGTATTTATTTAATTTCATTTCTGCAAAGTACTTTTTATAGTTCAGTTCTATTGTAATAAATTTTTTCTGTTTCTAAAGTACATTTTGCAATGGATCCATTTTAAGTTATATTTAATTGTTTTCCAATAAATTATTCAAAATTTTTATTTTTCTCATACATTAACATTTGAATGACAACTAATCTTGGAGCACTTGGATAGCTTAACTTGTGATGTACCCACCAATTTACAAAGTTTATGGATTGTAGTCCTAATAAAAATCAACCTTTATTAATGTTTTTCGAAAGTTATCGAATTTAGAAAATTGCTACTTAATTAATAAAGTTATTATTTAATAATAATTTTGTGTAATACTTGTAATTACTTTCAATATAAATTAAAAGTAATTTAATAACCTTTGGAAATGTCAATCGTTTTGCTAAAAATCAGACTTTTGGAGTTTTATGTATAAATTGATATAAAAATTTTATTGTCTTGGCCATAATAACTGGCAATTATTAAATAACTTTTACAAAATAAATTAGATACAGAATATTTTTAAAGTTATAAATGTGTTGATGTAAGTTGTCACACATTAATTACGTAGGAATTTAAATCCATAAAATTTTATAATTGCAACAGAAATCAATTTAAATTATTTAAATAATTTTAGGAAGACAATTTACCCATATAAGTTGTATGTAAATATCTAAAAACTTACCTTTGCCACAGCTTTTAGATTTTGACTGCCAACAGGTAAATAACTGTCTCTCTTCACCCAGTGCAAGCAATCCAGATGTATGCAAGGACGACAAGTATAAAAACCATCCCTGTTCTGAGAAAATCCAATCTCTCTCAACATGTCTAAAGAATGAAAGTTGGCTCTTGCTTCAACAAATGGCCTTTAAATTATATAAAAACCATATTAAAATGCAAATATAAATATCTGTATGCATGATAGTTATATTAAAGCCAAATGATTGCCAGATTAGATCAAGTTATATTATCGCTACTATTAATTGCATTAATGTTAAGTAATTTGGCCTAAAGGTAGGTATTAGGCACTATCTCTTATTAAATTTAATAATTGCAATCAAATTAATATTTATTAGGTTCTGGAAGAAAAGANTGAAAGAATTTACATAATACTGGAATTACAAATTCTCCATTTAATGGTATGTATGAGTAGTCTTATATAAAAATATGTAACTATTTGCTTACAGAATGCAACTTCTGTAAGCAATTGACAAATGATATACAAAAAAGAAAAGAGTTTGTAATTACCATACTGGAACTTATCAATTTTAAGTAAAAGCATAAATGATCAAAAATAGATTAACTAATTAATTAGCAATAAAAAAAAATCATATCATTACAGGTATTCGTATGAAATTTAAAAATTACAATTACCGAATGTCTATGATATTCTCCATCTGTTCAGTAACTCTACCCACAATAATTTTCTCATCATTGGATGACATATTACTGGAATATAAATTTTTTAATTAAATATATCATTGAAGAGATTCATTAAAATATAATAATAAATTGATTTAAAATTAATGAATACTTCTTCAACATTTCTACATAGGTGGATCTAGATTTCATTCTGTCTCGGTTTTTTTTAATCGTCGGAAGTAGTTCTTTCCTAACTTTTATTAAATCTGACACAGTCAGAAAAGATAGTTTTAAATAAGTTTTTTTTAATCCAATTAGATGGTTAGGCTGTAGAAACAAGAAAAAAACATTTTAGAATAAGTCTAAATATAATTATATTTAAAATATAATAATTTAAAAATAACAAATGCAATACACTAAATTTTATCAGACTAAAAAGTCTTGTTTATTTTTCATTAAATGAAATTATTTTTAAAGCTTCTTCTTCAGATGCAAAGTTAAATATGTATCAATATAAAACACATTAATACTTATAAATTTACATAAACAATAAATCAAAAGCTATTAAAATATTTAGCATTGATTCGGTTTTCAGCCAATTAATCCAATAAGTTTATAACAAAAGAAAAAAATAAAGTAAAAGTAAAACTTACCAAATCAAGATCTTCTTTTTGGATGATCTCAACTCGATAAAGACTTCCAGCAAATTTTCGAGTGAGAAAGGAAGAAACTTCCTGTTCACAATTATTTTTAACAGCAATATAAAAATAAGGATTAAAAGGAAATGATACTTTAAAGCGATTTCCATCTTCTTGAACAAAATAATAATCTACAGCACTAACTAATCTTCTGTCTTCATCTAAGATTTCAGTCTAGGAAAAAAATAATGTTTATAGTTGAGTTTTTAATCATCACTGTCAGAAAGTTATATGGAGAAATATTTTTTTAAATGTATCATGAACAAAAAATTATTCTTATTAATTAAAGTTAAAAATAATAGTTACTTATTAATTCATAAAGGAAACCTTAATTTTCAATAATCCAGCATAAATTTTAATAAACTTTCAAAAATTTTCATTCCATTAAAATTTAGTTCAGTTCAGATGTAAACCATAAAGATTATACTTTCTATTTTAGAATTTATAGGCATTCCATAACATAATCTCCCAGTTTTTGAATTTGTGAAGTCATTTAAGTGCATGTTCTATATAAATTTATAAAATCAAAAGTTGACAAAAATTCCAGATTTTGAACGATATTAAAATGAATAAAACTAAAATATCATAATTAATTTTTGGTCATCATGCTTATGAATCTTCTGGACATTATTATTAGAAAAATTGCCAAGCTGCTGAAATGTTTTGCAATCTTTAAAGTTAAGGATTCTCCCTTTTTTGGCTGTTTTAAATATCTCTAAGGCTCTGATCTGGTAATTGTGAAAGGCATACTGAATCAGTTTGTTTTTTTCTAAATTTGCTTTCACTTCTAGTTCTAGAGTATGGCTAGAGTGGTGACATGATTCTTTTTGATGTTGTACTTACGTACTTTCAATCTTAAATTTAATGATCTGTTAGTGGATCCAATGTATACTAGACTACATTCAAATCTCTCATCTGCAGCAGGGATACTGTATACTCCTGGTGCTCTCAATATGTCTATATTGTCACTAACAGGTCACTAAATTTAAGATTGAAAGTACATAAGTACAACATCAAAACAAATCATGTTACCACTCTAGCCACACTCTAGAACTGGAAATAAAAGCAAAATTTAGAACAAGCCAAACTGATTCGGCATGCATTTCACAATTACCAGATCAGAGCCTTAGTGACTCTAGAGATATTTAAAGCAGCAAAAAAAGGGAAAATCCTTAACTGTAAAGATTGCAAAACATTTCAGCAGCTTGGCAATTTTTCTAACAACAATATCCAGAAGATTCATAAGCACGATGGCAAAAAAATAATTATATTTTAATTTATTAAACATCACTGCTAAACCTTTACTTCCGGTAAGATATATTATAAAAACAAACAAATGTTCTCGATCTTATCTAAGATCGGCCCAGGTTCTTGGATCACTTGAGTTCCAATTATGGAATGCTGAGAATTCGAATGTTTTTTAGATATAAGCTATTTAACAATTCAAGAAAAAAGATTTAAAATAACATAATAAATTAATATATACAAATACAGTCGACCCCCGTATAAGATCATTGATTATTCCGTTTTATATGAATTCCATGTTGTACGAGTCACTTAGATTTTACAAATACGTGTACCGGGCTGTGAANATTTTGTGTAATACTTGTAATTACTTTCAATATAAATTAAAAGTAATTTAATAACCTTTGGAAATGTCAATCGTTTTGCTAAAAATCAGACTTTTGGAGTTTTATGTATAAATTGATATAAAAATTTTATTGTCTTGGCCATAATAACTGGCAATTATTAAATAACTTTTACAAAATAAATTAGATACAGAATATTTTTAAAGTTATAAATGTGTTGATGTAAGTTGTCACACATTAATTACGTAGGAATTTAAATCCATAAAATTTTATAATTGCAACAGAAATCAATTTAAATTATTTAAATAATTTTAGGAAGACAATTTACCCATATAAGTTGTATGTAAATATCTAAAAACTTACCTTTGCCACAGCTTTTAGATTTTGACTGCCAACAGGTAAATAACTGTCTCTCTTCACCCAGTGCAAGCAATCCAGATGTATGCAAGGACGACAAGTATAAAAACCATCCCTGTTCTGAGAAAATCCAATCTCTCTCAACATGTCTAAAGAATGAAAGTTGGCTCTTGCTTCAACAAATGGCCTTTAAATTATATAAAAACCATATTAAAATGCAAATATAAATATCTGTATGCATGATAGTTATATTAAAGCCAAATGATTGCCAGATTAGATCAAGTTATATTATCGCTACTATTAATTGCATTAATGTTAAGTAATTTGGCCTAAAGGTAGGTATTAGGCACTATCTCTTATTAAATTTAATAATTGCAATCAAATTAATATTTATTAGGTTCTGGAAGAAAAGAATTGACCCAGAGTGGGACTCAAACTCACAACTGAAAATTTAGAATAATACCAAATGAGAAAAAGAGTTAAAAGTCAAAACTTTTGTCAATTAGTAGTTATACAGATCATGTTAAAATACAGTGCCAAGTTTCACAGCTTGTAATAAAGTTAACTTATTGATAATCTATTTTCACAAGTATAAAATTATCTTTTTCAATAAAAAAGACAATTATTATAAAAATAAAGAAATTTGGAAAAAATCAAAATATCAAAACAAAAATTCTAATAAATTTAGATTTGTATGTGTTTTTTGTTAAAGATTTTCAATTCTTTTAAGTATTGAGACATGTATTTATTTAAAATAACTAATAAATAGTTTCATTTTAAAGTATTTTTTGTGTCCAGCGTACTATACAGTAGATTATTGATTATCCAAAATACCTAAGGTGGGACAATTTTGAATACCCAATTACACTTGGTAAGAAAAAAAAATAAAAAGATGAAGACCTCTTAAAATATTAATGTTACTTCTATTACAAAGAAAGCAGTTAAGGCATAGAAATTTAACACATACGAATGATAAGAAATAATGAAAAAGATAAGTCTAATTTATTAAAAATAAACACTAATCTTTCATTGCAATCTATATGCACTGATAAAACTTTAATTTCAAAGTAAAAATATATATTGTAAAATAAATATTAAATAAAGTATAGTACTCCTGTAAAAGTTATTTATTACAGTTTTTTTTGCTTTATTTACATAGTTCTTTCATATATAAGCATTTAAAAGCCTGATAATTTTGTAATAAGCCAAATGATTGCTGGATGAGCCCTGGGGCTTTTACAATGCAATTTTATTTTTCTGCTCTCTGCCATTATGTACCCCTAATTAAGTTGATATTCATGTTGAAGAACATTCAAACTAAATTTAACCAGTGAAAACATGAGAATTTACATAGTAACACCCAACAAGCTTAATGTAATCAAATTATATATAAACTATATTATATTCAATTAATAATGTACAATATATTAATAAATTGATAATAAATCCTAAGTAATATTAAAAAGTTTTATTTTTTAATTGACAAATATTTCTAAAATTTAAATTACTTTTCAAAATACTTCAATCAAGAGTAGAATATTACAAGTTAAAAATACATACCAATCAAACATATCACCGTTGTAAGTCACAAAAACAAGAGGTTTTACTTCATAAATATGATCAAAAAAACGTTGAATCAAACTAACCTAAAAAAAAAATTCATTTAATTCATTTTTCCTTCAATTATTTCAGTTTTAACATTTATACTTACAAAAGAATACAAACTTTTTAAAATAACATAATATTTATTTAGTGAATGTATTTCAACACATTTGACTCAATTCTACAGTGTGTGTCTACTCGATCTTGAAAAAAAGATTTGAGACTGATTTTTCAATTTTTCATAGACAATTTTCAGATTTTTCCATATTCATTTTATAACATTATTTTTTAAATTCTTATCAATTCATAATTTTTTAGATAGGTGTTTCTATATCAA